TTTAGACCTTTAAAAGGAAATTTCTCTTAGAGGATAGTTGAAATCTGACTCTAACTTCTACCCATTGATCCTGGTTCTTTCTAGACAGATCAAACCTGATCCTTCAGCGACAGACTACCAAATACTTCAAGATGGTTGTCATTTCTTAAAGGAGCTTCTCTCAAACATCCTTTGTTTTCTACATGTCCTTATTCCCGTTCTTCCCAGGATGAAAATCCTCTGGCTCTACTCTACAGTTAGTGATTCTTGTACCTGGGGGTCTACCACCTTGGAATTCGTGAGGAAAAAATAATAATAGGGGCCCAGGTCCTACACTTCTTAAGCTTGGGCCTCTTTTTTAAAGGTTTCCAGGTAATTCTAATATAAACTTTGAGAAGGGGTGCAAGGTTCTACTTAAAATAACATGCCACATACAAAAGTGGCAGTATCCTACTTGCAACACGACCAGTATAAAGTACAGTGGGTTAACACTTCCTATAAGCTGTTCTGTCAATCTAAAATTTATTTACTTTTTCTAAAAATTAAACAATAGCGTTGATTCACACTAAACACACAGTTAAAATTGTGAAGTCTTTCTCACGTTGTCTATTTGTGCAAGAGAACTTGGGGCCCTAACTACAGCCTTTACAATTATTCCTATTAAAAAATAAAGCCAGATGTGGTGGCACATGCCTGTATTCCCAAGTACTCCAAGGGTGAAGCAGGGGACCACAAGTTCAAGGTCAGCCTCAGCAATATAGCCAAGATCCTATCTCAAAAATACATTTTTAAAAAAGGAGGGAAGGCGGGGGCAGAGGTAGCTCGGTAGTAGACCACTTGAGTCATGCACAAACAAGGTCATGGGTCTCAAGTACTATAAAAATGGTAAGCGAAGTAGAGTTGAATTTTAAATATCTGTATCTATATCCCTACATATGGATTTATCTTTAGAGGAGAAATCACTTCAAGTTTAAGTCTCTACACTTATGGATATACTCTGCCCAAATAAAGGAGCAACGGCTAAACTGACAGCTAATTGCACCAAAACATTTCTGTACAGAGCAATGTAGTGTTTGTAGTAAGAGAAAACACTAATTAAACACTAATTTCATCTGGCTCTGGATTTACTTTTTAGAGAGTATGGTAGAACTTTTCAGTAAAGTTAACTAAAACATTAATTATCATCGTCCCAAAGTAGACATATTTGTGGTACAGAAATATGACTAAGTGCAAAAGTGTGAACCAAAGGAATGATTTTTGTTAGAAAACTAAATTACTGGGGCTGGGTTGTAGCGGTAGAGCAGCTTGCCTAGAACGTGACAGGCACTGGGTTCGATCCTTAGCACCACATAAAAATAAAACAAAATAAAAGTATTAAAAAAAAAAAGGAAAACAAGACCCCAACCCACTCTAAATAATATACATAAAAAAGGGTGGGGGGCTTGTATTAAAAAAAAAACTAAATTATCCTTAGTAAGGTAATTATAGTTTACAACTTATTATATATTATAAAGACTTTAATAATAAAGAGTTCAAAGGTTCCCAAAACAATAACTGTTTAAGCAGATGGAAATGCTCATTACTTTGATCATTACGTTGTATACATGTATCCAATTATCACACTGTACTCTCTAAATACTTCCTAAATACGTACATTAAAGAAAAAAAAAATAATTTGTCTTGAGTCCAAGACCTTGTTTGGGTTTGGTTTTGTTTGCTTGTTTGTTTTGCAGTGCTGGGGACAGAAACCAGGGCCTCAAGCTTGCCAGGGAAGTATTCTATCAGGGAGCTACATCCCCACCAGCTGGGTTTGTTTTTTAATGTTTGCAAAGTGAGAGGAAAGAGAGGGAGCACAACAGTGAGTTCATCCATACTTGGTACAGGGCCTCATGTACCCTCAAAACTGAATGTGATTTGAAATTTAATATAAAAAGCCCAGGAAGGTTATGGGCACCTGTAATCCCAGAGTCTCAGGAGGCTAAGGCAGGAGAATCACAAGTTCAGTGCCAGCCTCAGCAACTTAGCAGAGCCCCAAGGAAAACAAGACCCCAAACCAGTCAAAATAAAATACTTTTAAAAGGGTGGGGGGTTGGGGATGTGGCTCAGTAGTTAAGCACCCTGGGTTCAATCCCCAGTGCAGAAAAAAAATTTTTTTCATATGAAATTTCTGAATTCCTAATAACATGTTTGCTTTACCTGTTTACAAGATACTTGGGGGGGGGTCTATTCTGTAGGAGATGTAGCCTACTATAAAGACTTTTAGTTTTAATATTGGAGGGAAAAAAACTAAAATCAAGTAAAATTAACCAAGATTCAACCTACTTTCATAGGAACAGCAAACTATTAAAAAATACACCTGACATTTTTTAACAATTACATGAAGAACCACCAGATGCTTCCTGTTGATGGAACAGTACAGACTGACAGATTCAGAGTAGAGTTCACAGAAACAACTGGAAACAAATTTAGTTTCCTTTCCAAACCATTAAAACAAAATGTGATCTTAAAGTTTTACACACTGCACTATAACTGTCCAGACAGAAAAGTTTCTAAAGATTCAGACAGAAAACTCTAGATGTGTATAGATACATTACACAGATTGAACGAAGGTTTTACTCTTTTAAATCTGGAGCTCCCACAGTGCTTTGAAAGTGTCCTATACTCAGATTACAATTACACACAGATTTTCACAAGTACATCTAATGTGGAATTCATGTTTTATTTATGTACATAACTAAAGAAACATATTGGAATTAAAGACAAAGTTTAATCACTCAGAATGAATCTTCAGTGATGATGTGGGGATGGTAAGGAGAATGAGACTGACATTACTACACTATATACATGTATGATTCCACTACTGGTGTGCAGCATGTACAACCAGAGGAATGAGAAGAAGTGTTCCACTTGTGTTCCACTTGTGTACAATGTGTCAAAATGCATTCTATTATCATGTATAACTAATTAGGACAAATTAAAAAAGAAGAAGGGAGACCAATAGAATAGAAAGAAGGGGATCAGGGATAGGGAGGGGGAAAGAGGAGATACTGGGGAATGAAATTGATCAAATTACACTGTTTCACTGTGTGTACGTAGGAATATAACAAAAAGAGAAAAAAATGAATCTCCAGGAGCATATGCAGGTTACATAATCTTTAAGTATTACGTTGTTTATGCACCAAAAGCCCAATTGATTTTTTCTGGGACTGGAGAATGAACCCAGGTCCTGGAGCATACTAGGTAAACCCCCTACCCATGACTATAAAGCCCCACCCCTAAATCTCAACTTCTTAAAAAGTTAGACCCCAAGAAAAAAGTACAAGAATCATCCTTATTATCCTGATTTTTAAAATATGTATTGGATAGTATCCTTATATGACTTACACAGTGAAAACAGACAGGAATAACACACTTCTGTGTTAAAAAAGGAGGGAGACAGAAGTGGAGTTTTCCAGATGTTACATGGTACGATACCACAACCAGCGGTGTTCCATTAATCAAGCATTAAAAAGATTTGCAGAAATGCAAAACAATGTCACGCTTGCCTAATATGTCACTGTGTTAACCTGGAGTCAGTCTGTTTGTTTTTTTAAAAAAAAAAAACTTTTTGTAAAAAAAAAAAAAAAAAAAAAAAAACAAGATACAGCCTTCTTCAGTTTCCTTAAATTGAAAGTCTGAGCCTGAAAGTGGAAGTGTCAAAATATGGCAGAAGAAATTTAAACCAAGCTGGGTGGGTTTTAACATGATTTAAAACACGAGCAAAAAAGAATTTCTGAGCACCAACTTCTGCATGATAAATTAGAGTGAGTTTTTAATTCCGGGATGGCAATCTACAAGGATCATCCACCGACTACATGAAACTTGTGTGCAGATTAAAATTATACTTCAGAAAGTAACACTTGCCTGAATTCAACCAGCAACCCAGTGACCGGAGAGAGAAAATAATTCCACATTATCAAGCCCCCTTCAGAAGTACTGTGCTCTCTGCCCTCCTTTGAACAGATCTCTCTGCTCGCCACAGTCCAATCAGCTTTGAATCAAAAATTTGTGTACTGAAAACAAGCTTAAAGTGGGAAAACACACAAAGCAGGCCAGAATCATTCCTTTGGTTTCAGTTTTCACGATGCACCCTTGAGACTAGGCACGCTGATTCAACACAGTTGGACAGCTTCAACGAAACTCACTAAATATCACACCGATTAACTGTGCCCAGGCAGAGATGACCTGGCAAAATTCTCAATATCTGTCCCGAATCTGTTCTCATAAGTCCCAGCGGCGAAGTCTCTGGGGCAGAAGTCCCGAACATTCAGAACCACAGGCTTCGTCCCCTCAGGACTCGAGTCCCCGCGGCCGAGGCAGTAGCCGTGGCGGCCCTGCCCGGCACCAGCTGAGCTCTCCCGTTAACCCTGTCCAATCCCGCCGCTCCCACCGCGATCCGACAGCCTTCCAGCTCCGCGGGCTCCACAGCACAGCGCGACAGGGCCAGTCGGCCCTTCCCGCTCAATAGAGGCCGGCGGGACCGTCAGGCCGCAGAGACAATGGGGCTGGCGGGGCCGGGGGCGGCGGGCGCCGAGGCCGGGCCGCGCCTGCCTCCTTCCCTCTTCCGCCCACTGCCAGCCTCCCAGCGCCCACAGAGTCCCCGCTGCCCCGGTACGACCCCATCGCAGCCCCGGGGCCGCCGCTCAGCAGCGGCTCAGCGGGAAGCGCAGGGGAGGCCGCGGCATGCCAGGGCCGAGGAGGGGGCGGCGGCCGCCACCATGTCTGCCCGCCCCTCCCAGAAGCGGGGTGCCCGGCAGACAAAGCGCGCCGGCGGCGCGGGCGGAGCGGGCGCCCAGGCCGACCCCGTCGACCCCCGCGGAATAAGCGGGTCCAGGAGCCCCGGAAACCCGGCGCCTTAATGCAATAAACAGGAAATCGCGGGGATGATCTGGGTTCCGGGGGAAGTGGAATTATTTTTTACCAGCGAAGAGATCAACTTCCACATCCGGTGGTAACAGGGCCCTACACAGACCCGCACTGACCTGGAAAAGCTTCGGGAGCGGCGACGGGGGAGCAGCAGGAGGTGGTGCGGGGACCCGAGGCGCCTCGTACCCGGCCGGGCTGACGCGGCCCCGCTACACACTAAGCGCTTCAGCTGCACAGGGCGCTATTTTCCGAAAATGCCGCGTCTGGTCGGCGCCCAAAATCCCCACCGAAAAGTCCCCCGTGCTGCGCGCGGAGGGACACATGGTGTGCGAGTGAGTCAAGCTCCCAGCATCCCTCCCGGACCCGGCCCTCGTCAGCCCTTCGCTTGAGGCTTTTTCGCCCCTGCCTTTGTGTGCAGATCCCGCTCCCATCCACTCCCTAACCCCATTCCGGTGGGAGGAAGGGACAAGAGGGTTTGATTTTTTGTTTTTTAACAGAAGGAAGGAAAATATGCCATTTCTAGCGTTCAGCTACACAAAGAAGGCGGCGGAATGATCCGCTGTCGGCGACCGCAAGTCCCGGCTCGCCCGGCGCCTGCGCGGCAGCGGGGGTGGGAGCTGCGGCGGGCCATGTGCGCGGAATAGCAGCCGGGCCGCACCGCGCCGCGCCGCCTCTTTCCGAGATGGGTAGGAGTTTGGAAACAAGCTGGCGTGTGCTAACGCTAGTATGTCTCCGACATGACCGTTGAAAGGCGTGGACTGCGGGATCCTTGAGATTTAAGCTTGCCAATTGGACCGCCTAGCAGAATTCTGGGAGACGGAAGGGCAGCCAGGAGGCTAGGATTTACCTTAAAGTGGCCCTAGACTGGGACGGGAGTCGCTGTTGAAGTTCCAGGGGAGGAACGAAGACTGTTTCCACTTCGCATAAACTGAACAGTCAGGTTTATGACGAGGATGTACGTGTTTCTGTAACCTTTTTTGAAAAAAGCGTTCTAATGGTGCCTCATACTTTGTAGACTACAATAATTTGCTCACTGAATTCCCTTGGATTACTTGTCACCTGTCACAGAGGTAGAGATCAATTTTTCTGTGCCTGCAACATAAAGCTTTTTTGCGTTTTATTTTAAAAGCAAGTTTATTCGGAGATGGCGATTTGCAAAGGAAAAGTCTTAAATGTTTATGAGATTTCCAAAGTAACTCAACATACTAATGTTTTTTTTTTTTTTAACAGGGAACCTCGGGGATCGCTTTCCCAACCTACAAAGAGCGGAACTTTGGCATCCTTGTATCTAGGAGTTGGGAGTATCTCAGACAACGCGAAGTTTAGTCCAGAACTGACAAGTTTAAACGGAATTCATATTTCCCACTGTTTTTGTGTGGCCTCAAATAAGTAATTTATCTTCACTTACCCTTTGTAATAGTGATGCAATAAAGATTCATAGTCTTGRTATAACTCAGTATTCCTAAATTGGAAGCAGAACCGTATAGGAGCCACAGTCTTTATTTGTTTTTATTTAATATTTTTATTGATAAAACATAAAGATYTTTTTAATGTATTTTATTTTAAAGATAGAGAATATTTTTAATATTTATTTTTTAGTTTTCGGCGGACACAACATCTTTGTATGTGGTGCTAAGGATCGAACCCGGCCGCAGGGATGCCAGGCGAGCACGCTAGCGCTTGAGCCACATCCCCAGCCCCAAAACATAAAGATTTTGTTGTCATACTTTTTAATTTTTTTAGTTGTAGATAGACACAATATCTTTCATTTTATTTATTTTTTTTTAAAGAGAATTTTTTTAATATTTATTTTTTTTAGTTATCCGCAAACACAACATCTTTGTTTGTATGTGGTGCTGAGGGTCTAACCCAGCCGCACGCATGCCAGGCAAGCGCACTACCGCTTGAGCCACATCCCCAGCCCCATCATTTTATTTTTATTTATTTTTATGTGGTGCTAAGGATCGAACCCAGGGTCTCACACGTGCTAGGCCAGCACTCCACCATTGAGCCACGACCCAAGCCTCAATGTCATGCTTTTCTGTAACAGAGTTTGAGTAAACATTCAGTAATGCTACAGAATCTTTGCCCCCATTGATCTTCTGCTGTAAAATGTAACCGGTAAATAGGCATCATCAGTAGTATGATGAGGGGAAATTGACGAATACTAGAATTACAAAGAGGAGGAGCCCTTTACTAACCTGAAAGGGAGGACTTGAAGCTCTTACTGAGCTTCAGTAAGGGAATTGAGGAAGGCCTCCTAGACAGAGTTTAGAAAACAAAATACCAAGGAGTTAGATGGATAAAGAAGACAATGCTATTTCAGTAGTATCTAAAGTGTTCCTGTAGAGATCTAATGAAGACCTTGAATGTCATGTGCAGAAATTAGCTTTTAAGAGCAGGAGGGAAATGTTGAATGATCTGTAATARGAACATTCATGTGATTTAATTTGTGGATGACTAGCATACAAAGTTCAAGACAAGAAAAACAGTTTGTATAAAAATCCAAGAGAATGATGAATTGGAGAGAGAATGGCAAACAGGAGTGAAGGACATGATCAAAGTGGTAAAGGAGAGCTTAGAGATTTGGTTGACTCCATAAGGGAATGACTTAAGAGGTATAATGTCAAAGGTGACTCAAGTTTGGCAGTGAAGCACCTAGGAAGATGGTAATATCTTCACTGAGATAAGAAGGGAAGAGGGATATGTTAGGGAAGGACAAAGGTTCTATTTTGATCATGAAGTATTTGAAGTGCCTGTGAGCCAACCAAATAGATAAGCCCAGTCAGCAATTAGGTACTCATTCAACAGTTGTTGGAAAGGCACCCCCACCCTATGCCTGGCACTATTCTACACTCTACATAGGTAAAGCAGCAGTAAGACAAACATCATTCCTCTTCCTATTTCCAGTGTGTATGTTGGGCGGTCAGGGGGACTATAAAATAGAAACAAGGAAAGAYATCCCATAATAAGTTAATGAGAAAAATGAATGCATGATTAGATAAAATATTTCTCTGAGTGAAAGAACAAAATTTTGGTCCTTGAGCAGAAATGCCTCGTTGAGAAGTTATTCTGTGAGCTCAGACCTAATGGGAAAGAAATTGGGACAGAGGGAATAACAGGGCAAAAGCCCTAAGGTAAGAAGGAGTTATGTTTAGGGAGCAGCAAAGATGGCAGAAAAAAATGTAGTGAAAAAAATTAAAGAGATGGTAAGAGACAAGTCTGCAACTTTTGTAAGATCAAGCCATTGAAGGGTTTTAAGAATGGAGAAGCATGTACTAGGATAGTAACAGAGATGGAGAAAACGGATGTATCACAGATATAGTTTGAGGATTTAACCTGATGTGAAGAGTGAGAGAATAAGAAGTCAATAGTAATACCTAGGTTTGGGGCATTGTTGTCTATGCCAGCACTGGCCAATAAAAATATAACAAGCCACATAATTTTATATTAGCCTCATTAAAAAAGTAAAAAGGAATGTGAAATTCTAGTAAAAAAAAAAGTCTTATTTAACCTAGTTTGTCTCAGTATTTCATTTGTGATCAATATATAAATTATTAAATATTTTTGGGGACTGGGGATGTGGCTCAAGTGGTAGCACGCTTGCCTAGCATGCATGAGGCACTGGGTTCAATTCTCAGTACTACATAAAAATAAAGATATTGTGTCYACCTAAAACTAAAAAATATTTTTAAAAATTATTAAATATTTTTAAACATTTTACATGCTTGTTACTAAGAGTTTGGAATCTTATAACAAAGTATCTCAATATTTGATTTTACAAAATTTACAGTTCAAAAATTAACATATCCAACTGGTTTCAACCATAATGAAGTTTTGTGGTATTTGAATCATATCAGTTTTTAAATTTTATTTTAACTTTAGGAATAAAAAATTCAGTTCCTAAATTAGCTAAATTTCAAGAACAGCTAGTCGCTACTATACTAATCAATGCAGTCTAGTAGAACAGAGAATAACAGAAAGTCTTTTTTAAAAAGTTATTTGGGACCATGATGGAAGGCCTTAGATGACTAGCTAAAGGACTCAGATTTTATCCTAGAAATAAGGCGAACAGTGTCTATTTTTTGAGCAAGGAACTAAAAATGTGGTATTTAAGGCTAGAAAGTAACCACTAGATGGCCATCTGGTGACTCAGGACCAAGAGCAACCTTTCAGTTGCTTTGACTTCAGGCTAGCAGATTAGAAACTTTTATTTTTATTGTGCTCTAGACTAGTATAACCAAAAATTTGGCCCATGGGCCAATGTCAACCTTCACAAAAAGTGAAAATTTGAAACACTGTTCTAAAGGTGTTCAGATAAAGGGGTCAATAGAACCAAATTCCTAGAAGATTTATCTAAATCTAAATGCCTCTTTTTTACTATGGAGATAACCAAATCTATAATAGCTACCATTTATTAATGCTTTTTTTGTGCCAGCCATTCTGCATAGTCTGTTACATATATTGTCTCATCTAATCCTTAAATAATTCTATAAAATATTATTACCCCATTTTTCCTGTGAGGAAACTAAGGCTAAAATGGATTAAGCAACTTGCCTAAAGTCACCAAGCTCATAAATGTTAGGAGCAAGTGTTATAGTTTGTATCTGGAATATTTCCCAAGGCTCATATTTTGGAAGACTTGATCCCCACAGTTAAGAGGTGAGCCTTTGGGGAAGTGGTTGGATCATAAGGTCTTTGAACAATCAAGCCATTGAGGAATTCATAGCTGAATAGACTCTTGGGAAGTGGTAGAAACTGTAAGAGGTTAAAATACTTGGAGTGGGTCCCTAGGGATGTATCCTTGCGGACTGTTATCTTGTCCTCAGCCCCTTCCTCCTTCTCTGCTTCCTGGCTACCGTGAAGTGAGCAGCTTTGCTCTTCCATGCCCCCCTCACCAGGGCATTCTGCCTTACCACAGACCCACAGCAGTGGGACAAAGCATCTGTGGACTAAAACCTGAAATGGCAGGTTATTTTTCTCAGGTATTTTGTTATAGCAACAGAAACCTGATTAACAACAGGATCCTAGTACAGGTCTCTTTCCAAAGCAATATTCCTAGTGTGTGTGTGTGTGTGCCACTAATGTGTAATGTCTAAGGAGTTCCTTGGCACAAAGACTCAATACATTGTTTTAAAGAGAATGCATGAAGTTGGTTACATAACTCCCAGAAGGTTTATTAGCGAATTTGGTGCCAGAATAAGGTGAGTTAGTGGTATTCTGACAGCACTGGGCAAATGCATTCAGTGGAAATACATCGGCTTTGCTTCTATCTATAATTTATAGACCACAGTTAAATAACAAATTTCAACCCAATAGAAAACTGGGTAAGAGCCTTAACAGTCATTTCACAAAAGAAGGTAATTATATGTTTTTTAAACATTTAAAGGTACTCAACTATCTTAATCCTTAGAGAAATGCCATAAAGCCCCAATGAGCCACTGTGACACACCCAAAAAAAGCTGTTAAAATTAACCAGAAAGTACCAAATGTTGATCAAGAGTTAGCAACTGAAGCATATGTTATTAATAGGAATGGATTTGTTATGACCACTTTGGAAAATTCAAAGTTCAAACAACAGGCAAAACCAAACTAGACTTAGGAAATAAAGTTACAGAGAAAAGAAAGAATTAACTGGGGGATAGTACTTGGGAGGAAATAAAGGTATGCTTCCAGGGTTTGGGGYCCTGTTCTGTTTCTTGACTTGTATGGGGTTGGTGAGGGACAGGTCACTCATTTATTGAGCCATAAAGTTGGGAAAGGTGCCTTTTGTTATATTCTGTATTTCATGATTAAAAAGTTTTGATGAGCTAGGCACAGCAGTGCACACCTGTAATCCCAGAGGCTCCGGAGGCTGAGGCCGGAGGATTACAAGTTTAAAGCCAGCCTCAGCAACAGTGAGGTGCAAGCAACTCAATGAGACCCTGTCTCTAAATAAAATACAAAATAGGGTG